CATAATATCATCCAACAACTCTTCTTGTTTTTGGTCATTTGTGTCTAATGCATCATATCGGTTATTTGATGATCTCTAAATCCTGGTGGGATATGGTCAAGATCATATTTTGACACTTGTTGACTTGTTTTAATTTTCTTCAGTTTTAGTCTGAACTTGCATATGGATAATTGATGATCTGTTCCACAGTCTGCCCCTGGCCCTGTTGTGACTGATGATATGGAGCTTTTCTGTCATTTCTTTCCAAAGATGTATTCAATTTGATTTCTGTATATGCTATCTGGCAAAGTCTATATTTATACTCATCTTTTATGTTGAATTTGCAATGATGAAGTCATTTATCTTTGCTTAAGCTGGGTTTTTCTAGAGAACCAAACTAGTGAAACATGTATATGTGTATGTATAAAGATAAATGTCTTATCAAGGAAATGCTTACAGTTGTAAAGTCCCACATTCCCAGCGGAAGAGAGAGAGGGCCTTTCCCAATGTCCATTATATTAGAAGCAGGCCAGATACCCAAGGAAGCATCCCTTTAATTAATTTACTGCTCATCAAATAGTTAGGTATATTTCTGTTAGGTTTTATTACTATTGGAATAAGCATATCTCAACTGCTAAACCTCTGGAAAATCTGACACAGAACCCTAACATTATAGTTCAGACTTGTCAACTTGAAAACTATAAAAGATATGCATAATCTCTAAATAAACAAGATTATAAAGTCATACCTATGCCTAATTTGATATAACTAAAACATGTACAACGAACAACATACTGACCCCATTTACAACTTACATGTCACAAATTAACAAAGCAAAAATATTTGATCATGTACTATATATATATATAAAATGTCTAAAGAACACCTTCTGCAAGCCAGAGTCTTACCCTTAGGCACACAGCCCTATTCATTCCATGGGTTAAGAGTCTGTAGCTGCTTTTGATGTCCATGCCACTGCCTCTGCTGTTGCTGATTTTCCAGGCAGGGATGCCAAGTTCCACTCATGCTCTTCCTTCTTGTTGGTCCTGAGATCATCTGTCCCTGAAATAAAAGATTGACTGCTCCCTGCTATGAGTTACTTATCTTCTACAATTACAGTTTTGATGATCACAGATAATCCTACTAACAATTATTCACAATTGAAATCATAAATCCCTGTCAGCATCATCCCCAACCCCTTTCCCCAGACACAGAGGGAAACTGGTCTGTGGAGATTTTCCTTTGTCCCCTCATTCTACTAAACAAGCATACCCACTAAAGTTTGTAAGCTAGTCACTTATGAGTCCCTCCACATTTCTGATAGCCAATTTCTAAATTGTCTATCTCTATCAACCCAGTCCTGTTGTGGCACTGTGGGCTAATGCGTCAGACTGCAACGTCATTTGAACTGCAAGGTCGGTGGTTCAAGCTCACTAGCTTCTCCTTGGAAACCCTATACAAGGTCACTATGAGTCAGAATTGACTCAACGGCACTTAACAACAAATCAACCCAGTACAATTAGGAGACAAGCACATTCCTTAATATGAAGAATTTTGCATTCCGGTTAGAATTTTGAGCAACTGCATCCATAGCAAAAGTCCAGTTCCTCAAATCATAGCAATTAATGCTTGCTCAGAGTATTAAAGGAGCTCTGGTAGTGTAGTGGTTATGAATCAGGCTACGAACTGCAAGGTCAGCAGTTTGAAACTACCACCTATTCCGTGGGAGAAAGATGAGACTTTCTGCTCCCATAAAGATTTGCAGCCTCAGAAACACTGTGCAGGGTCACTATGAGTCAGAACTGACTCCACGACACATAACAACAACAACAACAGAGTACTAAACATCTTTATCTTCATCTGGTCACAAGTCAGCCATAGCCAACCAAGCTAGGTCAAATGAGTACCAAATGCAAGTTTGGGAGTTCACACACCTCCCAGCACTTCAAACCAGCTGGTTTCGTCACTCTAAGTCAATGTCTGTGGGCTCAGGAGTTCAAATAACTCCATAAACTTCAAACCAGTCTGCCTTGTTTCTCCTTTCTCCTCTCAAGTTCAACAGCTGCCAATAGAATATGTCTTCATTGCCAAATTTCCTCTAAATCCCCTCACACATAGATCCAAGTGGTTACCAGCAAGCATGCAACTCCGGTTCACTTTAACTTCCATTCCTGGTTGATGGTTATGTGCTGTGGAGTTGGTTTGACTCATAGAGACCCTGTACAGGGTTTCCGAGGTTGTAAATCTTTACAGGAGCAGAAGGCCTCATCTTTCTCCTGCGGAACAGCTGGTAGTTTTGAACTGCTGACCTTGAGGCTCGCAGCCCAATTTGTGCTCTGGTAGAGTAGTAGTTTACGAATCGGTCTGTGAATCGCAAGGTCAGCAGTTTGAAACTACCAGCTGCTCTGCGGGAGAAAGATGAGGCTTTCTGCTCCTGTAAAGATTTACAGCCTCGGAAACTCTGTTCAGGGTCACTATGGGTCGGAACTGACTCGACAGCACTTAACAACAACAACAACAATGCTACCAGAGCTCCTTAACTTCCATTCCTAGAAGGTGGTTTTCTCTAATGGGCTGACCTTCCTCACCTGTTGCCTCTGAACTCAAAATGCTAAACTCTCTGTGTTTTTCTCTGCTGTCTTTCAGTCTTGAATCTCCTGTTCTTCTAGTAGTTCTGGATTGGCAAGTATGTCCTTTCAAATGCAAATATCCCAACTCTGAAGGTTCTGGGTGGGGCTCAGGATACCACCTAAGACCCATACTCCATAAAGGCTTTAACCAAGAAGACTATTTTTTTCAGTGCAAATTCTAACTCCCCCTTTAGCAAATCATGTTGTTGTTGTTGTTAAGTGCCTTCGAGTCGGAGCCGACCCATAGCGACCCTGTACAGGGTTTCCGAGGGTGTAAATCCTTACGGGAGTAGAAAGCCTCATCTTTCTCCCGCGGAGCGGCTGGTAGTTTCGAACCACTGACCTTAAGGTTCGCAGCCCGATTCGTAACCACTACGCTACCAGAGCTCCAAATCATATCATAGTGGTTAAATATTGGTCTTCTAACCTCAAGGTCAGCAGTTTGAAACTATCAGCTGTTCCATGGGAGAAAGATGAGGCTTTCTGTGTCCATAAAGATTTAGAGCCTCAGAAACCCTATATAGGGTTGCTATGGGTTGAAACCAACTCGATGGCATTTAACAACAAAAATAACAATCAAATACAGGCTGAAGGTGGGCTTACAAACTCTTTGAAATCATAATTCCCAATATTCCTATCACTCATGTATGTATGTCTATTTTATAATAATGGTGGTGGTAGTTATGTGCCTTGGAGTCTGTTCTGGCTCATAGCTACTCTGCAGAGGGTTTCCAAGCTATAAATATTTTCAGGAGCAGAAAGCCTCATCTTTCTCCCATGGAATGGCTGGCAGTTTTGGACTGCTGACCTTGAGGTTATTAGCTGGATTCCTAACCACTATGATTAGGAGCTCTGGTAGCATAGTGGTTACAAATTGGGCTGTGAACCTCAAGATCTGCAGTTTGAAACTACCAGCTGCTCCACAGGAGAAAGATGAGGCTTTCTGCTCCCGTAAAGATTTATAGCCTTGGAAAACCCTGTTCAGGGTCGCTATGGGTCGGAACCTAGGGAGGAAACACCAATCTTGATAAGGCAGTAAAACACATAAACACTTTGTTGTTGTTGTTGTTGTTTTTAGGTGACAACATTCAAATTCAGTAATTTCCTCTACCTTAGACTTACCCTTTTAAATGCATATATATGATTTGGGGCCACTGGCTAAGTAGATTCTAGCTTGTAGCCCCTGGTCACAGATCAGCTATCTAATTTAACTAGCCTAAAATTGGCTCCAGGCAACTTCAGAAGCTGAAACTCCCCTCTGCTTAAGTATTTTATCTGTTCTTTCTCTTACATAACCTCATACTTTCATGAGTCAAGCTATTGCAATGAATCAGGTTCACAGCAACAACTACTTAACCTCCTGGGGCACATGTCTGGCTTCCTCTGAAGGATGATTAGTATGAAGTGGAACTCAAACAAGAAACTCCTGGAGAAACTGACCAGACACTTCATCAGTGTCTTTAAAATTAGTCAGACTTGAGAACCTATTTGGAAAACTCATTCTTGTAATTTTGTTTTCTCTAGAAAGCCACTCTCTCAGTTCTAAATGTCTTAGGCTGTGTTTTCTAGAGAATCAAAAACTGTGAAATATATATAGATATAAAGAGAAGTTCATTATCAAAGAAATGGCTTACAATTGTAGAGTACCAGGTCCCTGGTGGAAGAGAGAGAGAAAGCCTTTCCCAAGTGTCCATTACATTGGAAACAGGCCGCAGTCCAAGGAAGCATTGCTTTAGTTGATTGACTGCTCATAGCCTCTCAATCATAAAGTTAACTATGCCTGTGTTAGGTGTCCTCACCGTTAGAATAAACACTTCTCAACTGCTAAACCTCTGAAATTCCTGACCTAGTCAAATGGATCCAAAACCCCAACCATTACAGTCTTGTAAAATTCTATCATGCAATCTCCAGCATTAAGTGATATTGTCTAATCTAACACCATCAGGCATTATATTAAGTGGAACAGAGTAGACTTTGAGAAACTATTTCTCAATTGTGTGTGGAAGAGATAAGAATGACCTCAATATTGTTAAATTCTGACACATAATATAGATAACTATAAGCTGTTTATATCATGAATATAGATGCTGAAAACACGGGCTACAAATTTAGTAATTTTTTAAACAGATGCTAATTGGAACACTATTGAACTTAATTTACTTTAGTAAACAATATTTATCATTTTAAAATAAGGAAATTATATCAGTACCCTTTTCTCTGCTTACTTCCTTCTAGTCCTTGGAGAACTAATTGAGAAAATGAGTATACATTTGCTTTTAAGCTGTAAAGTATTACATGAAAGTCAATTATTACTGCTAAGAACTCTTTATGTACTATTCATTCCTCTTAATACTGACTTTCTTTTCCTAAAACACATTAGCCTCTAATAACTCAATTATTTTTCAGAGTAAACCATCTCTGGATCCTGCTACGTATTTGCTGAGTCTTGACACTGTAGATGATGGGGTTCATCAAGGGTGGGAAGAGGATATATATGTTACCCATGAGGACATGAACAACAGGAGAGAGGTGCTTTCCAAAGCGGTGTACCATGGTCAGTCCAATGACTGGGATATAGAAAACAAACACTGCACAGATGTGGGAGATACAGGTCTGCAAGGATTTGAGTCGCTCTTCATGGGATGCAATAGCCAAGACTGAATTCAGGATTAAGATATAGGAAATGAGGACAAACACAGAATCCAAAAACAGGGTGCAGATGACTAAGGCTAAAGCATAGAAACTGTTAAATCGAACATCAGAACAGGCCAGGCGGAGTAAGTCTTGGTGCAGACAGAAAGAGTGAGAGAGAATGTGGGGACGGCAGTAAAAGAAGAACTTCAGCCGGACAATGGGAGCAATAATAAATAAGAAACTTCTGGATAAAATGGCCAGACCAATTTTGATAATCCTGGTATTGGTGAGAATGGATGTATATCTCAGAGGATTGCAAATTGCAGTAAAGCGATCAAAGGCCATCGCAAGAAGAACTCCAGATTCCATACATGAGAGCCCATGAACAAAGAAGGTTTGGGCAATGCAAGTGTCCAGCCCAATTTCTTGGCTGAGTCCCCAAAGGATCCCCAGCACTGTGTTTACTGTGGACAGTCCCATGCACAGGTCAGTGAGGGCCAGCATGGCCAGGAAGTAGAACATGGGCTCATGTAGGCTTGGCTCAGTCCAGATCACATGAAGGACAAGGCAGTTCCCTGAGAGTATCATAGCATAGATGCAGGAGAAAGGGATGGAGATCCAGGGATATTCCTGTTCCAGGCCAGGGAAACCCGTGAGGAAGAAGATAGAACTATTCATTTTGGAATCAGACCAAATAGACATTGATCAGTAAAGAATCAATAATTTTCTCGAAGAAAGCTGTATATTGCAGTTAATTAAGATGCAAAAATATCTTCCACTGAGTTAGTGAAAAGTCTGGCGACTAGTTTTTCACAAACCATTAGATTATCAGATCTCATTGGATATGAGACCAATGCTGAATTTGCTCTGAAAAAGACCAGACTGTTTTGTGCCTGCTAATGACTCATTCTTGTTTTTAGAGATCTCTGGCCCATCATAGTCATCAATGTCTATATCCACAACACCAACAACATTTGTTATCTCAATGTTTCATATTATAGGTATCAGAGCAAAGTTGTTTTGGGCTTGTGAAGGTATAATAATGTAGTTTGAACCTGCAAAGCAGAAAAAAAAGCAAGCAAGCAAACAAATAAATAAACATTTAGTTCTTTATAAATAAGTTGTGTGGCTTGTGAAACTGGTTTCTAAAGGAGCTATTCCTCAGCCACACTGATCATTCTGACAACTAAACTTTAGAGTCTAATAAAGAACAACTGTCACTCACAGCAGTTTTATTTTTTCAGTCTTGAGAATGCATCTGTTTTTCTTTCTTTCATCACTGTGAGATTGAGGTTCTAGGCGATATGAGATTTATGCAGGTTAGAGAATTATTACAACACTGGAGAAAATCTTGGGACCCAAGGGATTCTGTGAGTGAATAATGCAACACCTACAGCCAATGCTCTTTAGGGAGAATGAGGGAAGAATCTTGGGTAGTGTATTCACAGCAAACGATTCCACGCCTCAGATTTTGGATGTTGCTTTAAGTATAAAATTTTTAAAATAATACTTTCATCTAGATAAACCAGAAATGACAATTCAACAGAGATGACCAGAACCACTGGTATTTTGCTTCCTCCCCAAGTGATCTTCACAATTTCCTTGAACATTTGCAGATACATCTCATATTTGTTGTTTTTGTTGTTAAGTGTTTTCCAGTAGGTTCCTACTCATAGTGATCTTATATAGGCTTTCTGAAGAGCAACTGGTGGATTTGAACCACAGATCTTGAGGTTTGCAGTGCAGTGAATATCCAACCATGCCACACCAGGACTTCTACATCCTATATAAAGCAGGTTATCATTTGGTTTTTGCTTTGTTTTGTTTATAATGACTGTAAAATAAGTATAGCATAACATTTGCCAATTTAACATTTTTAATGTATACAATTTAGTGACATCAATTTCATTAATAGTGCTGTGCACCCAATCACCAATATCCATTGAAAATTAGCAACATCATAAACAGAAATTCATTATCTCTTAAATAAATAATGAATCCACCATTCCCCCTCTCTCCACTCTTGGTAAATATTTGCCAAACTGATTTGGAGACCTCCTCTGGCTTCACAAGGGGAAAGAAGGAGAATCAGCCTAAGGTCTATTCCTAAAAGGCAGATGTCAGATATGCCTCCATCCTCCAACTTTCTTTATTCTATTCTGACACAAACCAATCCTTCCACAATGCTCTAACTTTCTGCTAGGTTTGATAATCTACTACAATGGCCACACAAAATCTACAGACAATCTCACAATTAGGTATGTATTAAGGAAGTTGACAGGTACAACTCAGAATCAGAAATAACTCAGGATACAGCAGTTTTCTGGTTAGGAATGCCTCTTCTCAGTCATACTGAAGACATACCCCTTTGTTGTTTCAATCTTTTCAGATATGTGTCCCCTTGGCCACTGCTCTGCTCCAGAAAATTTAACAAGTCCATTTGGTGTTGTGGACAAATAAGCAAAGGGCCTATTCTGTAAGACAGCCTTCTGCTCAGAGGCACTCAGATTCACTCAGCCCATGTGCCAGCAAGCTCACTGCTCCATCTCTCCATCTCTGCCTCTCCTGCTGCCCCTTGATGCCATTGCCTTTCTGTGCACAGATCTCACACTCCAATCATGGATCTTGTTTTTCTGTGCTGGGATCATCTGTTCCTGCTTCTAGGATGACTCCTTTTCAACTTAGCAGGATGGCAAAAGACTGTTCAGTTCTCTCTGTTCAATTCTTATTTCTGGTCTCCCTGTTGTTGTTGTTATGTGCCGTGGAGTCGGTCCCAACTCATTGCAACCCTGCACTGAGTTTCCGAGGCTATAAATCTTTACGGGAGCAGAACGCCTCATCTTTCTCCCGCGGAACAGCTGGTAGTTTCGAACTGCTGACCTTGAGGTTCGCAGCCCGATTCGTAACCATTACGCTACCAGAGCTCTCTGGTCTCCCTAGATCATCTGTTAAATTTTCATTTCTGGTTTCCCTAGATAGAGATATTATTATTATTTTACATGTACATATAGTAACATTCAAAATCTGTGGAGTGGAAATATCTGCTGTGCCTACAAAACTCGAGTCTTCCGTCTTAAAGAAATCCTAGTGTTAAGAGTCCTGGGGTGGTGCTGTGGATTAATGCACTGGGCTGCAAAGTCCATTTGAACTGCAAGGTTGGCAGTTCAAGCTCACCTTGCATTCCTTGGAAACCCTATACAGGGGTGCTATGGTTCTTAACCTGACTCAACGGCACTTAACAGCAATAAATATACTATTTGCAGGGTTTCACATATTCATTTAGTGGGAGTTACAAAGAATATGGTTGCAATAACAAATACCCTATTTTCTGGGTTTCACCTAATCATTTGGTGGGAGTTACAAAGAATATGGTTGTTGTAGTTGTTAAGTGCTGTTGAGTCGGTTCCGACTCATAGCAATCCTGTATAGGGTTTCCAAGCAGTGATTTGTGAGCTTGAACCGCAGACCTGGTGATTCAAACCGACCTTGTGATCCAGTGCATTATCCCACAGTGGCACACCACAACTTTCAATTTTATGCCACTAATAAATTTTGGTCTTTATAGATCACCTATTCTACTTAGTTCACAATAGTGAGATCATTATAATATTTGCCCTTTTGTGATCAACTTACTTCACTCAGTATGAGGCTTGCAAGGTTCATTCATGTAGCCGCATGTATGAGGACCTCATTTCTAGCCATTTGTGTGGAAGCACACTGTCCCATCTTTCTTTTGCACAGAGGCTGGTGGGTATAAACCACCCACCTACCTTTTGGTTAGCATCTAAGTGCTTACCCACTATGCTACCAGGTCTCTGGATCTGTTTGTAATTTAAAAATTCACTTCAATTCTCTTCATGTCAGCTAGAAATACTCACTCAATTTCTAACTGCATACACAGTTTAAGTATTCAGATGAATTTAAGTACTTGTAAGGATAAAAAATTGAAAACAAGCTATAGAGTTCTGTACTATGTTTGTAATCCATATGGTGGTGGTGGTGGTTATGTGCTGTGGAGTCGGAACCAACTCATAGCGATCCTGTACAGGGTTTCCAAAGCTGCGGTAGCAGAAAGCCTCATCTTTCTCCCGCAGAACAGCTGGTAGTTTCTAACTGTTGACCTTGCAGTTCACAGGCCGATTCGTAACCACTACGCTACGAGAGCTCCCATCTTGAAATGAGTTTCTACTTTTATAATTCAATATCACAGACTGTTTTTTGCATTTAATCTATATTCAAGGAACTTTAGAGTTACTTGATTTAATCAAGTATTAAATTATTTGTGCTATCTAATTTGATTGTTAAAATGATTTGAGAATTTTAGGTTTTATTTTACTAGGCACTGTAGGACAAGCACTGGACTGCTAAGCACAGACTGGCAGTTTAAACTCATAGTCATTCCTTGGAAACTCTATACAGGATTTGGAGCAGACTCAACAGTCCTTTCAACAACAACAATAACAAAGAAAATGGTAAACAATGTGCTGATGAGTGGGAAAGCTATCTCCAGCACTCTTAAATGCTGTGTGATTGGACAAGATAATTAATCTTCTTTCAGCTGAGTTTTCTCAAGCAATATTGTGAACAGTAATGTTATCTATTCCATAGAGTTGTCCTGTAGTTAAATTCTATAAATATGTAAATAATTTAGAAGCATGAAAGACAGTAAATGTACCTCTGTCCCATTTAGCCTGTGCAAACCTGTCTCAGTGTTCCCCTACCTACCTTGTTCTTCCAGCCCCCTCTCCAATCATTGAATAATTTTTGAAGACCAACTTACTCATTTAAAATTCTTTTTAAAACAACATAAAAGGTTATTAAGCACATGAACCTTACTAGATGGGATACATATAAAAAATCTGGAAAGCTTTAATAGCATTTGTCAAAACAAGGCCAGGGGCAAACTATGTAATAGACCATCATTTGTTTATATGCAAGTTCAGGCTGAAACTGAAGAAAATGAAATCAAGCTCATGATAGCCAAAATATGACCTTGAACATATCCCACCTGAATTTAGAGACTATCTCAAGAATAGACAATGCATTAGACACTAGTGATCAAAGACTACAACAATTGTAGGAAAACATTTTGAACACCATACAAGAAGAGAGCAAAGTGTCATTTAAAATGTAGGTGAGAAAGAAAATACCAAAATGGATGTCAGAAGAGACTCTGAAACTTGTTTTTGAGTGTTGAGTAGCTAAAGCGAATGGAAGAAATGAGGAGGTAAAGGAACTGAACAGAAAACTTACAAGGGCAGCTCCAGAAGGCAAAGCCAATTGTTAAGATGAAATATGCAAAGAAGTGGAGTTAGAAAACCAAAAGGGAAGAATAAGTTCAGCATTCCTCAAACTGAAAGAACTGAAGAAAAAAAATCATGCCTTAACTTTCAATACTGAAAGATTCTGTGGGAAAAATATTAAGTGATGCAGAAAGCATCAAAATAAAATGAAAGGAATTCACATAGCCAATGTACCAAAAATAAATGGTTGATGTTCAGCCATTTCAAGAAGTAGCATATGATCAAGTGGTACTGAAGGAAGAAGTCCAAGACGCACTGTTGTTGTTAGGTGCCATCAAGTCAGTACTGACTCATAGCAACCCTATGCATAGCAGAATGAAACACTGCCCAATCCTGGGCCAACCTCACTATTGTTGCCACACTTGAGTCCATGGA